CACAGCCTGCTCCTTCCGGCGTCTGCCAGGAGAAGCCTGCGTCTGTGCACAGAAAATGTTCCTCTTGGGGGAGGAGACAGGACGGTGTTTCCTGGGGAGGTTCTCTGTCTCCAGCAAGTGGGGGGCAAGTCCACCTGCTGAGCTGCTGCAGGGGCTTTGATAAGAAGTCACCCTAACTAAAGCTTTCACCCTAATCTGATGGAAAACTGAAAGAAACAGAAGCACTTGGGGAGTGAGGGAGCCACGCCCATGGCACCTCACACTGGGAACTGATACTATGGATTATTCACTGCAAAATAGTGTTATACTTACCCCCACATTTGAGGAACGTCTCAAGTTTTCACAATCCCCCCTCCCAGAGGGATCTCCATCCCCTTGCTATTCAGTGAGGAAATTTAGCTCAAGCCTCTGTCTGTCTGCCTAACAATGACATGACCATTTATTTCATTCCTGCAGCCCCCCCATGTTGATGGGGTGGGGGCAAAGGGGGCCCATCCTGTGAGGCATTGTTCTGAATTAAATGTTTGTGTCCCCCACCTCAAATTTATTTGTTAAAACCCTATCACACTGGGGACCCCCAATGTGATAGCTTTGGAGGTGGGGCCTCAGAGCAGTCATTAGGAGTAGGTGAGGTCAGGGGGTGCAGGCCTCTCCCGGGCATGGGGTTGGTGTTCAGGAGTCGGGACAGCGCTGGCTTTCCCCTGCTCTCCACCACCACGAGTCCAGATGGCCACAGTCTGCAGCTCGAAAGAGCGCTCGCACCAGAACTCCACCGTGCTGGCACGCTGATCTCAGACCTTCAGTCTCCAGAACCGTCCGTGATAAAGTCCTATTGTTTACAAACCACTAGTGCTGTGGCAGTTTGCCACACAGCCTGAACACACTAAGACAGGGGTCCCGAATGGTAAACTGTGTGAAACCCCCTCTGCTTTTGGCATCCGCTCTAACCCGTCAGCTCCCCACAGCCACACTCCAGCTTTCAGCCTGGGAGGGAGAAACAGTCACGCTCACTGGCTCACTTGCTCATCGCCCACGTGCCCCTCCCGTTTTCCTGCCCCGTCTGCGAGGCTGGAAGAAGTGGACTTACTCTGTCTTTGCAAGAACTTTTCCTGCCTCATGTCCTTGCTGTGGTGGCATTTGACCTCGCCCCTTCCCTGGGGTCACAGTGGGGGACGCAGTGAGGGAAGATAAGAGAAACAGAGTCTGGAGGTGTTTCTAAATTTTATTTTATGTGTTGTTGCATTCCGCCTTTAGAGATCTTGGTATCATGAGTTGGCATTGGCCAGGTGCTCCCAGTGTGGGAGGCAGGCTGGGTGGCAGCAGGTTCTCCCCCTCCCCCAGAGGTGTCCCTACTTGCTTTCCCAGTGGCTTCCCCAAACTTGCCTGGTGGCCTGAGCCTGGGTTCCTGCAGAACCCAGAGAGTGCTTCTGTGGAGAAGGCAGGCAGCTATGTTCTAGAGCTGGCTTCTGGGATGCTGGTGGTAACAGTCCGTTTTTCTGACCTGGCAATGGTTACACAGTGTATTTGCCTTGTAATAACTCAGCGAGCTGTACATCTTATGATTTGCACCCTTTTCTTTTCTGTTCTTTTTTGTTAATCCACACCCGAGGACATTTTTGCATTTACCTTTAGAGAGAGCGGGAGGGAGAGAGGGAGGAAGAGAGAGAGAAACATCAGTGTGAGAGAGACACATCGACTGGCTGCCACCCACATGACCCCAACCAGGGCCAGGGACAAACTACAACCGAGGTATGTGCCCTTAGCAGGAACCAAACCCGGGACTCTCTGGTCCGTGGGCCAAAGCTCTAACAACTGAGCAAAACCGGCCAGAGCAGAGGATATTTTTTCCATTGCTTTTTTTAGAGAGTGGAAGGGAGGGTGGGAGGGGAAGAGAGAGACAGAGAAACATCAATGCGAGAGACACGTCAATTGGTTGCCTCCCACACACGCCCCACCAGGGCCAGGAATGGAACCTGCACCCCTTTAGTTCAGGGGCTGCTGCTCTAACCATCGAACCACATTGGCCAGGGCTGTGCCCTTTCCTTGTGTGTGTGTTATACTGAAGCAACAGTAAGTTAAAACTGTTCCTTTTGTATAGTGACAATACTCCCACCTTAACTAGAAGTTAGTAACTCAACCTAAATCACCTGATTCATGGAATTAGACAGACTGTCCTCCCATACTCCCCCATAAACTTCGAGTATTGTGATATTTTCTTTTGCTTAGTATTTTTAATAATGTCTATTATTTTATTATAAAGCTATATGCCAATTGTAGAAAATTAAGAAAAGTATAAATGAGAAAATAACAATCTGCAATTTTACTACCCAGGCAACTACTATTATATTTTTCCAACTATGATATTTTTCTGTAGGCCTATATAAATAAATATATATGTATATAGCTTACAATAATAGGGTCATTTTAAGTGTTGAAGCCTACTTTTTCCACTTAACATCTTGTGAACATTTTCCCACAATTAACTATACTTTGAAAATAAAAATTTTAACTTATAAAAACATTTCATGTTGAGTCATTATGCTGCTGGAGGTCATCCATCCATTTGTTCACTCACCCAACCATTCCCACAAACATTGACTGAGCGCTCACTATACTCCAGGCCCTGGGCTGGGTGTCAGGAACGCAGTAAGACCAAGAGAGACATGATCTCTTGTCATCAAGCAGTTTTCAGTCTATAAGGACAGAGAACACGTAAAAATTAATTAAACCAATAAAGATCCAAATTGGCCCTATCTGGTGTCATGCAGTTGGTCAAGTGTCATCCCATGCACAGAGAGGTTGTGGGCTGGGGGCATGCAGGAGGCAGCTGACTGATGGTTCTCTCTCATCATTATTTCTCTCTCTCTCCCCCTCTCCTTTCTCGCTCTCTCTAAAATCAATAAAATAATATTTTTAATTAAAAATATCCAAATTGGAGTTTCTCATAGAACTTGGCACGTTGATCCAGGGCCGCCTGGTATGGGCTACAAAGTGATCTGAAGATAGTCGCCCCTTGTGCTGGGCTTGGAGGCGCCTGGGAGAGGCTAAGCTGCAGCCTGAGGCTGGCTGCCACTAGTGCCGGGCATGGGCTGCTTAGCAAGAGGGATGGGGCAGGCTGAGGCCAGATGCTGCTTGTTTGGAATTTGTAAACCTTGAGAGATTTTAGGAGAGTTCTCAGCATGAGCCAAAATAGGCCACTGGTATAGAAAAGCAATGGGAAGTGGCTTGGGTGGGCCCAAAAGCTGGGTGGGGTGGAGTGGAGTCTCTGTGAATCACCAGGGTGGAGCGAACAGTTTTGGCCAGGTCGATGGAAACTCACCTATGGCACTGGCCTGTGCCTGCAGCTGGAGGGCTTAGCAAAAGAACTGTGGCTTCTGCCAGCACGCCTGTCTGAGAGAAAGCTCCTTCCAACCCTTGCCCGAAAGCCAGACAATTCAGTTCCTCCCTGTATGTTCCTGGCACCTTCTGAGCTGTTGCCTCAGTGTTGGAGCTCAGAGCGAGTGAGTCGTCGGCAAGTAAGTCAGTGTGTGGGCCCTTTAAGAGGAATGCCTGGAACTCCAGGAGCCCTGCATCTCACTCGGCCACCATCCCCATAGTTTTTACAGCGAGAAGTTAGGAGAATTCTCTTCCAGGTACAGGAACCCTTAGCTGGGGATCCCGGTATGGGGCTGGGACCCCCTACTCCTCATGGGGGACCTCCAAGCCACTGAGTTATTCTTCCCAATTTATAACTGCCATAGGCGGGTGTGGGACCAGCCTGCTCTGTGTCTCAACCACTCCCACCATCTTGACATTGTTTCTTCTATACATCCTTAGTTATAGGACTTCTGTTTAGCTAGACTTCAGGCAATTCTCAGATGGTTTGTTCTTTTGAGGTGGTCCTGAGAGGAAGTAACTACAGCATTTACCTACTCTGCCATCTTGACCAGAAGCCCTGTTCATCAGTTTTTATTTTTTTATTTTTTTATTTTTTATCCTCACCCGAGGATATTTTTCCATTTTTTGTACAGATAGAGTGGGAGAGAGAGGAAGAGAGAGAGAGAGAGAAACTTCAATGTGAAAGGGACACATCGAGTGGCTGCCACCCACACGACCAACCAGGGCCGGGGACAAACTGCAACCGAGGTACATGCCCTTAGCGGGAACCGAACCCGGGTCTCTCCAGACCGCAGGCCCACTCTCTAACCACTGAGCCAAACCGGCCAGGGCTGTTCATCAGTTTTTAAAAAGAGCAGTATAAAGTGTTCTCTTCTTAAAATTTGATCATTTTAGTTTATCTTTCCTTAAGTAGAAGGTAAAGTTTCATGGCAGATAAGGCTAGGCTGGTGACGTGTTCAAATGAACATGTACCAATGGAATGGAAATAGCAGATTATCACCCTGTATCCCTTGCTACCAGTCTGGTTGTGGAGGGTCCCTGAGCACCAAAGTGCAAGATACACCCTTTGTAAAATGTAGCAACAGTTTTCTATTCTAACGCAGTTTAGATAAAATGCAATGCTATTGATTTTTTCTTCAGTCTCATGAAACTAAGGGTTTTCAATATGTTGTGGTCTGTAACTATTAAGGAAACTTGAATCCTCTAGTTGAATCTCTTTATTTTACTTTTTGTCTCAGAGTAGTATAACAATAAATGTTTTGAATGAACCATGTGTGAAAACAATGTGAAAAGACTATTAAGATTTTTATTGTAGATTTTTGTTTCTACCTTCAAGAAACTCAGAAGAAAACAGTTTTTCTAGTAGAAAATAAAATCATCAGGTAGAATGGTATAGCAAAAACAGGAAGAAACACGCAGACACTAACTCTCCTCCTACTTGCAAGCTATGGTCCAGAAATACAGGAAGAATTTAGAGCCACATTTTTTCCCCTTCCTTCTCAGAGAGGCGGGGCTCATTTAATCTGGAATTCAGGCGCTTATTGATGACTGCTCTGTTGCAGCCAAACCAACAGAGCAAACAGCTGCCCTGCTCCTTGATTCAAACAACACTGGATACAGAGAGCTTATGCCACGGAATGGAAATCAATGTGCATTCTTATCAAGAGCTGTGCCTTCAAGGACCTCATGTAAGTAACATAGCAGTTTGGTAGAGCTGTATCACTGAAATTGCAATCAGAAACAAAGAAAAAATTACAGGGAAGAAGAGGAAAGCTTTGGTTTTATTTTATTTTTTTATTTTTATTTTTTTTTTTTAATCCTCATTCGAGGACATTTTTCCATTTTTGTACAGACAGAGTGGGAGGGAGAGAGAGGAAGAGAGAGAGAGAGGGAAACATCGATGTGAAAGGGACACATGGAGTGGCTGCCACCCGCATGACCAACCAGGGCCGGGGACAAACTGCAACCGAGGCACATGCCTTAGCGGGAACCGAACCCGGGTCTTCCCGGACCGCAGGCGGACGCTCTAACCGCTGAGCCAAACCGGCCAGGGCAAGCTTTGGTTTTAAAGCTGTCACACCCATCATTCATTTTTAATGTTATATTTTAACTGCTCCTCTTGGGAGTCATCTTATGGCTCTTACTTGCTTCTCAGTTACTGTGCTGAAACTCATGGTCTCTCAGCATTTCTAAACTGAAAGCTGAAAATGAATTCTCCTTTATCGAGTCCTCATGCTTTCATCCAAGAAAGTGGGTCTGCTGTTCCTTTTTACTCTTCTGCTTATAAGTGTAGTTTATTTCCAAAAGTGAAAGTTTGCTGCAACTATTTTAATTTGTTCCTTTGCTTTTGATTCACTGTGAAGACTGAGCAATGGTGTTGTACTACTAAGATCCTAAGTTTCAGCGCTGGAGGAGGGTAGATGGGAGAAGTTGAATACAAGTGACTTGGGGCAAAGAATGGGGACGGCAATGAGTCTTTAATAAGAGATGTGATCTCCCCATTTGACTCAATGCTTATGAGACTATATTTCTTAAATAAGACATGATTCGAGGATATATCAGGCAGACAAGTATACCTAACAGAGCTAACTTCAAGGAGTGTAGGATCTAATGAGAGAAAGAAGACATATGAAGTGAGAGGTAATAATGTGAGTGATTTTCTCAGGGTCCTTATAAAACATCAGATAGATCATAAGTATGAAATGAATAGTCAAGACAAGTGCTACAGGAATACGGAGGAGGAAGATTATTTTGGGATAAGGTGTTCATTCAAATTAGGTTTCACAACAGAGATAGGACTTGAAGCCCAGGTAGGATGTAAGCAAGCAGCAGGAGGAAGAGCCTTCTAATTGTGGGAAATGATATCAACAGGGAAGACAGTGATCTGTTTAGGGCAGAAAGACCTGGGTAGGGGAATAATGTTGGTAAGGTCAGGAAGAGGTCAGCATGATTGTTCAGGAACTTCAATACCAAAGTTGATCCCCTGGGCATACTTTACCGAGCAGGGGATAGAGAAACATGGAAGTTTTTCTTAAGCAAAGAAATGACTTAGTGAAAGCAGTCTTGTGAGCACATTACTCAGGCAGTAATGTGCAGGACAGATTGGGAAGCAGGGGATACAGGCTGGAGGAGCAAGGAGAAGCCCAGTAATCTAGGTCTGAGGTGCCATATTTGCTTAATTCTAGGACACTGTTGACATAACAGATTTTTGTAATAAAAACTCTACATTAAATGTGTACCTTGATTAAAAATAAATCTTGAGTTTAGGTATGTAAAATCATGAAAATATAGGCATCCCAGAATTCAGGATAAGAAGATGAGATCTGGTCCGGCTAGTGTGGCTTAGTAGTTGAGTATGGACCCATGCACCAAGAGGTTGCTGGTTCGATTCCTAGTCAGGACACATGCTCAAGTTGTAGGCCACATCCCCAGTGGGGGGCATGCAGGAGGCGGCCAATCAATGTTTTCTTTCATTGATGTTTCTCTCTCTCTCTAAAAAATTAATAAAGAGCCCTGGCTGGTTTGGCTCAGCGGTTAGAGCGTTGACCTGCGGTCCTGAGAGACCCGGGTTCGGTTCCCGCTAAGGGCGCGTACCTCGGTTGCAGTTTGTCCCCGGCCCTGGTCGGTCGTGCGGGTGGCAGCCACTCGATGTGTTCCTTTCACATCGATGTTTCTCTCTCTCTCCCTCCCACTCTACCTGAACAAAAAAATGGGAAAATGTCCTCGGGTGAAGATAAAAAAACAAAAACAAACAAACAAAAAAAACCTTAAAAAATCAATAAAGAAAAAAATTTTTTAAAAAGGAAGATAAGATCTGAATGAACTAAGGAGGTGATGTTAGAAATGGGAGGGAAGAGTAGAGGCCAACCCCCCCCCCCCAGAACACATTTTGAAGAATTCGAGAGATTGAATGTTAAAAGTCAGAGAGAGAGAGAGAGATAACTAAAGTATGACTCCACGATTTTGAGTCTGAATGCAACTGGCAAGGTGATATCATTAAGAGAAATGGGGAAGTCAAGAGGGAAAAAAAATGAACTAAATTAAAAAAAAAAATCCTCACTCAAGGATATTTTTCCATTTATCTTCAGATAGAGTGGGAGAGAGAGAGAGAGAGAGAGAAACATCACTGTGAGAGAGACACATGGATTGGTTGCCTCCTGTATGACCCCAACCAGGGCCGGGAACCACACAAGGTACGTGCCCTTGACTGGAATCAAACCCACAACTCTTTGGTCCGTGGGCTGGCGCTCTAATCGCTGAGCCAAACCGGCCAGGGCAAAACAAACTACATTTTATATATTGAGTTTGAGGTGAGGACATATGAGGCAGGATTTTGAAATTATAGGCCTAGAACTAGAATGAGCAGACTAGAGCATGCATCCAAGGAATTATCTACACAGAAGTCAAAACGGAAGACTTGAGAGTGAAAGAAATTCTGAAAGACGGTGTAGGTAGAGGACCAGGGCAGAGGTGTAATCATAAGGGAGTGGCCACACTTAGGGACAGGAAGCCGTGTAGAGAAGACCAACAGAAATGATTTGAAAGGTTAAATTACATTAATTTCAGGAGAGGAATGAAAGACATGAGAAGAGAGAGGTGGAGGACTTTTGTTCATGATTTGGACTTATAGACATTAATTATGTATATTTGGATGTGTCTTAAGCATTCACATAGGTATCAAGAAATCCACTTCAGTACTCCAAAGGAATGCCATGTGGGACCCCATCTTCATCTTTAGCTGTGTGCTGGCTACTAAATGTTGACTATTCCTCAGCCCCAGGAGTTTTGGACCAGTACGTTGGCTGGTTCCTCAACCTATGTAAGAAAATCATGACATTTTCCCCAAAGGTTTATTGCTTGTATTGAATGCTGTTGACTTTAGCCTGATCCTTTGAAGTCCAAAAGAACATACTTCCCACATAACTATTTTTTTGTTCCCTTTGTTCTTTTTCCCCCCGCATGAGTCTTTAATGGACGGTTATTTTATAACATAATTAGATTGATCCAGCTTTTTATAACAGAGTCAAAGTTAAAGGCAAACTAGTTTTTAACACAGAGTTTTTCTGGAATTTCTGTGCCAATGAAACTTCCTGAACTCCTATTAGTCAAGGGAGACTGAACACTTTCTGGCTTACCTCATTTCCTTAGCAGATAGATAATAAAAATATGTATTGGTTTAAAACAGAATAGTTGCATAGCCCATAAAAATACATTAAAAAATCCCAATAGAGGAAGAACATGGCTGCGGGCAAGACCGCAGTGAGGGTGAGGGTGTGAGTGTGTGAGTGTGAGTGTGAGTGTGTGAGGGAGTGGGCGTGGGTTAGAATCTGCACGCGGTGCGGGAACTTCGGGCCAGGTCTGCGCTAGGGAGCCACCAGCCAGCGCCCTGTGCTGCTTGGCAGGCACTTCTCCCTGCTCTGGGCTGGAAAGCGCCACCATCCTGGGAGGAGGCAGCGAGGAGCAACTGGGGCCTGGTGCCCGAGGCGATGGGCCTGCGTGGGGGAAGAGGGGGCGCCAGACCAGCAGCCCCCACTGTGCCCACACATAGTCCCGGCACAGGAGCTGCTTCGCCGCCTCCCCGCAGCAACTGCGCATGGCAGCAGTACTGCCTCCGCAGGACCCGGCCACACCAGCTCAGGCCCTGTGGGCCCCGGCCACCCTGGCCATGCCCCTGCAGGACCCGGCAACCCAGCCAGGCCCTGGCTGGCGCCCCGCACCTGAGCAGTATCCCCACCGGCCTGTACCCCTGCAGTGCACTCCAGCAGCACCCCCAACGGACCCTGCACCCTAAGAGGCCCCCTGCTGGATCTGCCCACCCAAGCAGCACCTCCTACCACACAGACACAAGGAACTGGCCGTCAGTCCTCCTGGACCCACAGCAGAGAGAGGCCTGGCGCCTACGGCCCCACACCAGCCCAGAGCCACTGACCCCTACAGGCCCTGCAGCCGCCACCCCCCCCCCCCAAATGCTACTGATACCTAGAGCTGTTACCGCCACCGAGAGCCACTAGCCCCACCACCGCTGCCACCGAGAGCAGCCTGCACCCCCAGATGATCGGACTGGATTCTAGGTCAGGCCCCTCCACAACCCAAAACACCTGGACACACCAACCTGCCTGGAGTGTTGGTGGCCTCACCTAGCCCTGAACTGCCAGACTGCTAAAATGGCAAGACAAAGAAACAACTTCCAAATGAAAGAAAAGGAGGGAATCACCAGAAAAGGAAGATGAAGAATTCAAAGTAGAAAAAAGGGGGGACATCTGTAATTTCAACAATAAAGAAAAATTTTATTTTTTTTATAAATTATTTTTATTAATTTATTTTTGATACAGATGTTTTTCCTTTTCCCCCCATTGACACCTTCCTCCCAATCCTGCCCTTACATCCTGCTCCGTCCTCTGATTTTTTTGTCTATGTCCACTGATTACACATACATGTACGTATATAAGTTCTGTAGTTTATCTTTTCCCTCCATCCCCTCTCTTCTGAGGTTTGTCAGTCTGTACCTTACTTCTATGTCTCTGGGTCTATTTTGTTCATCAGTTTGTTTTGTTCATTATATTCCACAAATAAGTGAGATCATATGATATTTGTCTTTCTCTGCTTGGCTTGTTTCGCTTAGGATAATACTCTCCAAGTCCCTCCATGTCGTCTCAAAGGATAAGAGATCTTTCTTTCTTACAGCTGC